TGTTGCTGTGTAGGCCACTCAGAAAGATACCTGAACACCTGATGACATCATCGGAGATGTTTCAAACAGTAAAAGATGCTTTAACTCTGATATCTAGAAATCCTTTGACTAGCTGCTCCCTGGGCTCAGAAACTGGACTATAACTTGCTGCCACCATTAACCTTTTCTTTTTGTTTCTTTAGAAATGCTTCTTATTAAATACTTGATTCCTGGTTACTTGTTTACACAATATAGGACTAAGTTTGGGAGCGTGCCTGCATCACCACCTTACTAAGAGACTGGCTCAATGAGATGGAACAACCTACACCACTTATCAGCAGGAAGATATAGCAGTCGTCACCCTAAGTCCCTCAAAATTGAGGAGTGAACAACAAAAAGGGGAGATTTGAAACTGTGGGCCCTCCAGGACCAGTACAACTGACTCCATCTCTTATCAACAGAGTGATTAAGAATTACCTTTCAAAAAATGTGCAAAGTCACACAGCCGGGGCATGTGCAAAAGAAGAAACTGTGACCTGAAACAACATCGGAACCAAAGATCTTCCTTCTCACAGAACCCAAGGACAGGGACGCGACCAGAAATTGAAAGACTCTTTTCAGATGTGAAGGGTCCCTCATTCAGGAAGATCTGGTGTTAAAATTCCTTCCCCATCTCATCAAAAATGTTTAGAACTCCATTATAAATGTTTACAACCTCATCATAAATGTTCAGAATCCTGTCATAAATGTTTAAAACTTTACCATAAATGCTTGAAGCCCACCAAGCAAAATCTGTTCTGCCAGTCTTTCTGTATGGCAGCCTGTTCTCCCTAGCCTCTTAAATTTCACCCCAAATCCTGAATCAGGCAGACAGATCTGAGGACACACACCCCGTTTCCCTGCAGATTGATCTCACAGAATAAAGCTGATCTCTTTTCCAAAAGGCTGATGCCATAATTAATTGGCTTGTTGATGTGCATCGGGCAGAGAACCCAAACTTTGTGTGGTAACAATTCTGTCTGTGCACTTTTCTTTCCCATGAGACTTTCATCTTCAAAATTTCCTGAGAAGATTCTCCCTCATACACTCCAGCTGGTTTTGTGTATAAAAACTATGGTCCCTTCTCTTGTAAATTTCTATCTCAATGGACCAAAATTACTAAAGATGATTTAAAATCACAATGGCCAGCAGACAGAACATTTTAATTAGATGACTTAAAAGGTGCACTTAAATGCAAAGGCTTCAAAATTCTAAAATAGCTTCATTGAAAGTTTTATTGCAAAGAGCTAATGAAAACTTAAAGCTATAAAAGGGGCCTAAAAGACTATACAACCATAAACAGAAGCCCACCAAGTTAGTGGCCTTACTGACCCCCTCATATCCCCTCTCATAGGAGAACCCCCAGATAGGCCTCTTCTAGAGTTGATGAGACTCAAATGGTTTTCCAGGTAAACTGCTATGTTATTTCCTCAAACAGCCTAGAGGAAACTAAAATTAGAATTAATGGGGTTATTCAATACTGCCAGAAATATTTACTGTTTGTCCTGGCTGAAACCTAACAAGATATTTAGAAGAACTTTTTTTTTTCAGTAGCTCTGTGGTCAAAAATTGGCCAAATTAAAAGCTGATATTCAGAGCCTGATAGGAATATTTTTTAATAGGCTTTCTTCCCTAAATGTAACCACACAAAATTCGTTCTTTCACAAACCTTCTGTAACTTTCTCTTTTCCATTCAGAATTTGTCCCATGCCTTCTTTCTTCCCTTCTAGTACTTCAGGACAAATTTATCTTTCTTAACAAAACAAACAAAAACATTTCCATTCTTTATGTCTTCTTTACTGAAAATATACATCTTACTTTCCTTGAATATAAAGACGTTTTATTAATTTTTAGTAGCTTTAATTACATATATTAATTAAAATATTTAACCCTTACAGACCTTAATATTTAGTGAAAACTAAAAAGTAAGCAACCATGAACTCTCTTTTACATTACCATTCTGTGGCTTGGCTAGTTTATAAACACTTTTCATAACTTCTAGAAACATGCTACTTCATATTACAATTTTTAATAAAACACAAGACATGTTTACTAATAGACCCAAACATCTTTTAGTTTCTCTGTAATAAGAAACCAAAAGTAGATAAACTTAGACATATTCAGTGATAATGTTTCAGGATTTTATCTTATTTGAAAATGACCCAGATATTCAATGAGTTTTTTATCATTTAATTTCACCTGGCAAAACTTCAAAGTTTCAAGCTACCAGAGAGATTTTGGAAGTTATCTTAAATATACATGCCATAACACATAATTGTTGCTAACAAGTTCACCCAACACTTTTATTTTTTCCTATCTATTTAGTTTACTCGTTCCCCATAATTATATAGATTGGCTATAAAACTTCATCATACATTAAGCAAAATTAGCTATTTTAAGTTATTATTTTTGCTAACCAGTTTTGTAATAGAAATAACATCAGCTTATTTGACCAATAAAAGTAGAATAAAGACTGCATGTCTGCATCATATCCAATGCTGATAACTCTGAGGACATGTCCATTTTTATCAAACCAACAATCTTAAATAAGCTCTCATTTACCAAAGATTAATTTTTATCATGTTAACTTGACATTTGTGTTAGTTTCTATTACATTTAGAAATAATTTATGTAAGCACGTACTTTAAGCCAACTGAATAGAGCTCGTTAGAAACTATACCATCCAGAGGTAATATATCACACATATATATAGACACACACAGAGAGACTCTACAGCTATTGTTTTAAAATTACTGCCATGAATCAGGTACAGTAATACAAGGCTCCCTAGGTATTGTCGGGGGAAAGAGGGAGAATCTCCCTCTGCCCTTTCCCTTAAGGTTCTTATGGCTGGCCAAATAATTAACAAGACAGGTTAGCAGGAGAAAATAATACCAAGTTTAATAACATGTATACATGGGAGAAACTCAGAAATGAGCAACTCGTCCCTCTGTCTAAGCTGCTTGCTTAAGTATTGCAGCTAAAGGCGAGGAACGTGTTGGGGGTGGGTAGTGGCCTGGGACTTCAGAGGGCAGGAGGACAATTCTTTTCAGGGTCATCTATAGATAATGAGGTCAGGGAGAGACAAAGTTTTTGATAAAAGAGGCTTGGTGCCTCTCCCATTGTAACATCTATTTTACATTATCTTTATAGCCATCATGATAGAAGATCTGTTCCAGGAATGAGCCACCATGTCAGATTCTTTAGGCAGTTAGTGGGGGAGGTCAAATGTCCCTCAGAGAAAACAATCAAGGTAAAGAGATATATTTCAGGGTGGCCAAATTTTGATCTCCCACAGTATAAATCCAAATTTTAACCTTTTTACTAATATTTATGGAGAAGACACTCAAGATGCTAGATTTTTGGTGAGGGTGTTCTTATGCTGTTTTTCTTTCTGTTTTTTTTTTTTCCTTCAGTCTTAGGAATCAGTGATGGGCTGGATATTTCCCAGAAAGTTTGCCAGCTCTTTGAGATAAGGGAAATGGGTGGACCCTGAACTGCCTCTAGAGCTGCATTTACAGTCTTGCAAGGATTTTTTAAGGACAGTTGTTCTTAATTCCTCAGAAATTGGGTTGTAACTTGAATGACATTATAGGTTGATCTACCTGTCCATCCACATCACAAAGGCACAGAGAAACCATTCAAGTTTTCTACAAGATGGAGTTTCCAGGGCGAATTTGCCTTATCAGTTTCTAACATCCCAAAATCTGTGAGGATTTTGAGAGGAACAGGGGAGGCTTTGGGATTGGAAAAAGGACAAGTGAACTTTGAACTATCTTCTAGAGCCATACCTCTGGCCCTGCAGAGATTTGCAAGACAAAGATGATTGCTTCCAGTTCCCCAAAGAACTGGATTACAGTCTGAATGATAAAAGATGCTGACCCACCCTTTCAGCTACATTTTTCCAATTGCTTCTTTATGTCAGGGACACTTTGTAACTTAAGTGAATCAAAATATTTTTACGTTCTGAAACTTCAGGACAATGTATCACACCTTTAAAAAGTCTGCAGAAAGTGCTTAATAAAGGCCCTTTTTCCAAGTGCACAATTCCACTGAGACCAATTTACCCTGCGGGGAGTGGAGGTTTTATTAGGATCTATAAGACCACCAGAGGAAGCTGAGACTCCAAATTTGCTTAAGTTCTTAAAACTAGTCATTATGAAAGCTCTCTAAAAAACTGTTCCAATTTAGAAGTTCTTCCCGTTTAAGGATCCATCCTCCAACCATTGAGGAGTAGTATCTCAACAGCAACTCAAACCAATAAGCATTTATGGCTTAACTAGGATGCAAGAGGTGGCTCCAAAAGAGAGTGCAAAAGCAGCAGCCCTCACAAGATCCAGAAAGTTCACTCCCAAAAATAGTCCAAAAAAGCAAAGGCTTCTGCTGCATAGGTGGTAGTGCACTAACAAGCAACAAAGGTTGAGATGACAACGGCTCCCGAATGGACTGGGACCTCTCATGACAAACTCTCCTGAGAGCTGATACAGCTGGACAAGGAGAGCACATCTCAGAGGCCCAGTCTACTCCACTGGCCACCAAGATGCACATCAGTACATGCATCCTCCAGATGATGGAGACCAAAGAGGTCACAAAGCCAAGCTCTCAAGACATAGAACAAGACAAAAGAAAAGAATTTCATGTTATATGCACATTAGCAGCTTTAGCTATAGCTTGGGTCTCTTGGAGCCAAACTAATAGCTAGGAGAGAAGTGCCTCAGGGTTGGGGATTCTGTGTTGTTTTACAGAATACCGCATTGCACGGAAATTTTCTTGAGGTTGGGGGGGGGGGGCCTGTCATCATCTACCCCATTCACTGACCAAGTTATCCTATCACAGGAGTCTTCTGGAGGTGGTGGGCACCCTAATGGCTCTTAACTGCTCCACCCATGCCCACCAATTTCGTGGTCTTTTTTGCCTTCCAAGAGGCCCCTTAGCAATAGCTTTCACCTTACGCACATACTTAACCTACAGCACGCACATACTTAACCTACAGCAAAGTTTAATGAGGGCACGCCCAGACAAAAGGCTTATGGAGATACCTACATCTTGCCCTATGATTTTTATGACAAATGACACAAAAGACAAAGACAGGGAAAAATCGTGACCATCTCTGGGAGGATAAGGATCAATAAACCAATGAGTATTCAAACCTAATTTCTCACGGTCGCTGAATGACCCATCATCTGGCCATTTTCTCCAGAGTTTAAAGAGTATTGCAGCCATGCGGTGTTATAAAAGAATATCACCTTTTCCTGTTTCATAGGCTCATAGCTAAAAGTCACCCAGTTTAGGAGAATGCAGCCTAATGGGCTACAGGTGGGGATTGGATTAGCATTTCCCATGGTTTCATAATTTAGAGACAGCCGGTCAAAAGTATATTTATGCTACAGCGAGAACCAGATGGTGAAAATTTTGGGAGTCCCTGAAACTAAGACCCTCACAATGAAGGCCAAACCAAGGCTTCCTTCTAATGGCAAATGTAACTGCCCTGACGTTGATGGCAGTTTGGTAGGACCCTTAGCCACAAAATGGAGTACAACCATATTTTTGCTGAACTGTAATTTGGGACCTCCAACCTGATGGTTATTAAGCCAAGCCCTAAGGACACCAAACAAGCTTGGTAGGATTGTGCAGTTCTTTGTAAACATTTATAGCTCCTGGAAACTTTAGGTGTCAGAAGGTGGCGAGCTCAACTCTTTGAAGAAATTTCTCTATTACCTGGCTCTTAAAAACGAGCCCCAAAGTGGCCACTGTAATTTTAAATTATTCCAAGTTATGTTGCCAGCTGTTTACAGTTATCCCCATTTTAGGGAGCTTTTTCCAAAGTGGCTGGAATAGTCAAAGTAATTTCTAAAGAGTGTTTGTTACGATCACCAAGAAACTCTGTCCCCAGTCAACCCAATTCAGACAAACACAGAATACAATTCTACATATAACACAGACCAGAATACTAGCTAGTTTTCCAGGAGTAGCTCAGAACCAGTGCCAGGAGCTACTCAAAACCAGACTGCCAGGGGCAGCTCACAACCAGAGCCAGGAGTTGCCCAGATCCAGAAGCCACTCCATCAGTGAGCCTTTTATCCTGCCTCTAATTACCTTGGGTGGTTCAGGCCCAAGGTTCAGGTCTCAGCCCACCCGGATTCCCCAGAATACAAGCCAAACTTACATTTCCAGGAAATCAACCCTTTGTTGCTTTCTTTTTAAAGATTTTTATTTATTTTATTTTTTCCCCCAAAGCCCCAGTAGATAGTTGTGTGTCATAGCTGCACATCCTTCTAGTTGCTGTATGTGGGACGCGGCCTCAGCATGGCCGGAGAAGCAGCGCGCCGGTGGGAGCCCGGGATCCGAACCCGGGTCGCCAGCAGTGGAGCGCGCTCACTTAACCACCAAGCCACGGGGCCGGCCCCCTTGTTGCTTTCTTAAAGATCTTCACCCAGAGCCCAGAGACATCTTGATCCAGAAGCTGTTTCTTCTCCCAAAGGGGAAAAAAACACCTTGGGGCCTGGAGCACCAAAGCAGGGAACAGAAATCCCATCAGTGGAGCCTCTAGACAAAATTGTCTAGGCAGCCACTTAGGGTCGACAAAAAGACCCCACAACCTGCTGGGGTTCCAGAGCATCGGGCGGGCAGTCACAGGACCTTGTCCCTTTATGGTCACCAGTTGTTTTTTTTTTTTGGTTTTTTGTGAGGAAGATCAGCCTTGAGCTAACATCTGATGCCAATCCTCCTCGTTTTTCTGAGGAACCCTGGCCCTGAGCTAACATCCGTGCCCATCTTCCTTTACTTTATATGGGACGCCGCCACAGCATGGCTCGACAAGCAGTGCCTCGGTGTACGCCCGGGATCCGAACCGGCGAACCCCGGGCCGCCGCAGCAGAGCGCGCGCACTTAACCGCTTGCACCACTGGGCCTGCCCTCTTGGTCGCCGGTTGTTACTGCACAAAATTGGGTTCTCTTGCCTGATGTGCATAAACAGCCAATTAATTATGGCATCAGCCTTTGAGAGAGAAATCAACTTTATTTTTACAACACTGATCTGCAGAGAGACTGCGGGGGTGTGCCTTCAGATCTGTCTCCCCGATACAGGATTTGGGGTGAAATTTAAAAGGTTAAGAAGAACACGGTGGCACACAGAAATGCTTGGTGGGACAGGTTTTAATTGCTAGGCTTCAGGCATTGATGGTAAGGCTTTAAACATTTATTATGAGGTTCTAAACTTTTATGATAGGGCTCTAAACACTTATGATGAGGTGGGGAAGGCATTTTAACAAAGAACCTTCCGGAATGTGGGACCCTTCACATCTGATAAGAGTCGGACTTTCAAGTTCCAGTCATGTCCAGGTCCTCTGGGTTCCGCGGGAGAATCTTTGGTTCCTCAGTCATTTCAGGACAAGATTTCTTCTTCTGCACATGCTCTGACTATGAGACTTTGCACATTTTCTGAAAGGCAATTATTAATCACTCTGTTGATAAGAGACGGGGTCAGTGGAACTGGTCCTGGAAGGGCTGCGGTTATATAAATTAAAATGAAACTATGTACCTGGAGAGAAAGAAGCAAATTAGGGATAACGTAAAAGGTTACAACTCAATTTCTGAGGCAATGAGAGCAAGTATCCTTGTCCCATAAATCTTTATAAAACTGAAAATGCAGCTCTACAGGCAGTTCAGATTCCACCCCTTCCCTTTCACCAATCCTAAAAGCTCCCCTGACTCAAAGCCTGGTAACCTCTCCAGGAACTCTTATTTAGACCATCCCCAATTCCTAAGACTGAAGGAAAATTTTAAATCACAATTACCCGAAACTCCTAGGAAAAAACTTGCATTCTTCTCTCTCTGTTGTTTGAAGTTGTAAATTTGTCCATATCTTTAGAATGAATGTAAACACTCCAGGAGATAACAGCCCACAGTCACCTGAGACTAAGCCTGGTAGCTCAATCTGTAAAGCCTGAGGTTAAAGAAAAAAAGGTTGGGGGAGGAGTTTCCTTTTAAATACAAGCTGCTAGAGGGACTCTCTCCCCCAAATCTAATTCATCGCCTCCTTATCTACAGCAAAGATAAATCTTAAAGTCTTCTCTCCAAATATTGACAACAAAAAAAACTGTTAAGCAGGTAACCTTAACTTGTTCTATCTGCTAGAGACACTATTTATAAAATACTGAGTTTTGTATTGTACCTGATTCATGGCTAAAATTTTTAAAATGAAAGCTATAAGATCTCTGTGTCAGTCTATATATATGTATGTACATTATACATGTCTGATATTTTTCTATCTCCAGATGGTATTAACAAAATTAACTTCTAAAAAGAGTTCTATTTAATGAACTTAAGTAAAGGCTTATATAAATGATTTCTAAATATAATAGAAACTAACCCAAATGTTTTTCAAGTTAACATGATATAAAATAATTTTGGGTCAATAAAATCTTGCTTAAGTTTGCTGGTTTGATGAAAGGCATGTCTTCAGAGTTATCAGTATTGGAGATAATGGAAACATACAACTTTTATTCTGTCTGGGTTATTAATCAGATAATCTCATGTTATCACTGTTATAAGATTGGTCAGCAACAAAAAACTAACTTAAATGATAGCTAACTACTTTAATGTCTCATAAAATTTTCATGAATCATCTGTGATTGTCAACAATAAATGAATTATATAGATGTTAATAAAATAAGGACTTTTAAGTGCAATTATTATGTTTTCTGGTATGTGTACTTTAAAATAGCTTCCCCAGGGCTGGCCTGGTGGTGCAAGCGATAAGTGTGCACGCTCCGCTGCGGCAGCCCGGGGTTTGCCGGTTCAGATCACAGGCGCACACTGACGCACCGCTTGGAAAGCCATGCTGTGGCGGCGTCCCATATCAAGTGGAGGAAGATGGGCACGGATGTTAGCCCAGGGCCAGTCTTCCTCAGCAAAAAGAGGAGGATTGGCAGATGTTAGTTCAGGGCTGGTCTCCTCACAAAAAAATAAATAAATAAATAAAATAAAATAGCTTCCCCAAATCTTTTGGTAACTTGAAATATTAGACTTCTGCTAAATGAAAGTAAATGATGGAAAATTCACTGAATATCTAGAAAAGATAAAACAGATCTCCAGATAAGATAAAACAGGAAAATGTTAATTACTGAACAGGGGTTTCTCTACTTTTGGCTTTTTCTTACAGAAAAACTAAAAGATGTTTGGGTCTATTAGTCACATTAAAAAACTTATGCTATGAGAAATGTATGTTTTTAGTAAAAGAAGGTATAAGAAATCGAGATAATTTTGTTAAGAAAATAAATTTGTCCTAAAGTAAAACGGGTTTTGGGAAGGAAGAAAGGACAAATTCTGAATCTAAAGGAGAAAGTTTATGGAAGAGGAACCCTGAGAAAAGAGTGTTGTGCATGGGTGAGCTGGCTAAGATTGGAATGAATTTAAGTAACTGAGTTTTTTTGTTTTTTTGTGAGGAGACCGGCCCTGAGCTAACATCTGCCAATCCTCCTCTTTTTTGCTGAGGAAGACTGGCCGTGGGCTAACATCCATGCCCATCTTCCTCCACGTGACATGGGATGCTGCCACAGCATGGCTTGCCAAGCGGTGCGTCAGTGCACACCCGGGATCCGAACCGGCAAACCCTGGGCCGCAGCAGCAGAGTGTCCGCACTTAACCGCTTGCGCCACTGGGCCGGCCCCAAGTAACTGAGTTTTAATATGAAAAATAAGCTGGCGCAAAATTAGAATTTTGTTTTCTTTCTGTTTGTTATAAGGACAAGATTTCTTTGACTTTTAATCTACTCCTGATAAAGATTATGAAAAGTTTTTCTTTACCTTTGAGTAATCTTCCTAAAAGGCAGGGATGTTATGTTTTATCAAAATAATTTCCGGTGCTTTATGTTAAACACTGAGTCTTTCCTATTACACAGAGCTAAGGTTTTGCAGCTATGTAACCTTTTGTATCTGTCTTTGAAATCTCTTTGTCACCTTGGTTAAACAGATAATTAAATATTAAGTTTCATAGTGATCTGTGATCCTATTTAGGCAAGTATTTTAAGACCTTCTTTGATATTTCTGACAAACTTCCCCAAATCAGATTCTAAATGAAGTCTTTGTTGACCTCTAGCTAACATTTTTTTCAGAGGATCCTTGAAACATCTCAAAAGATTGGTTTTCTTCTTTTATAAGGAGAGATATTAAACTAATTAGGCTTATCTGATATGTTAAATTACATGGGAAGCACTGTCAAATAAGAAATATCACTAGACTTTCCTTACATTATGTCTCTACAAGTATATGTTATAAGAATTCCATGGGCCAGTCCCATGGTGTAGTAGTTAAGTGCGCGTGCTCCGCTGCTGGTGGCCCGGAGGTGGCTGGTGGTTCGGATCCCAGGCGTGCACCGATGCACCGCTTGTCAAGCCATGCTGTGGCAGCGTCCCATATAAAGTGGGGGAAGATGGGCACAGATGTTAGTCCAGGGCCAGTCTTCCTCAGCAAAAAGAGGAAGACTGGCATGGATGTCAGCTCAGGGCTGATCTTCCTCACAAAAAATTTTTAAAAAATAAAAGAGTTCCAGAAATTATGTGAAATTCCTGCAAGTCTAAGATGTCCTGGTATAAAATGTTGTCTGTCATCAAAACTAAGGCTCACACTGAATATCAGGAAAATGCCTTATCTGATTTTTATGTAAAGGCAGCAACAGAATCTATAAATATTGGCAAAATGTGGATGAGGTCCATTCGGCCTCTGCAAAGAAGAGTCCCTTATTACCAGACTTTTGCCAAACTGATGTCCTTATAACATGCCAACAGTCTGCTCCTGAAGCAGAGAAATTAAGGTGGGGAAACAAGGCTGTAAATTCAACCAACAGTCAGGGCTATGGGAAATGCAAGACGGCTGCAGGGCTCTTCCCGACTCTGTGGCAAATCTTATTTTTCAGTTTTTACATTCTTTCACCCACTATAGGAAAGACTATTTCTGTCCCCAGAGGCCTCAGAACTCCTCCCCCTGGATCCTTTCAGCACCTGCAGCTGGACTTCATTCACCTGCCACTTCCTACGGCTCATCAAT